ATCGAACCCGCCATGTCATCATCATCATGACTGATGGTGAGACCTTTCTCCTCCCCTGCCATCCTCCCATCCGTGCCAGTGTTTAGTCCTCAAGTCCAGCCAGTGTCTGGGCCCACTTTCATGGTCTCCATGTTTTCCACAGGCTTGTACAACATGGGTGGAGACCCTGTCACTGTCATTGAGGAGATCCGAAACCTGCTGGACATTGGCAGGGATCGCAAAAATCCCCGGGAAGATTATTTGGGTGAGTGACCTGGCTGGGATCCAGCACTCTCACTCCTCAGGACGTGGGCCCTCACCCTTTCTTTGTCTGCCTCAGATGTGTATGTGTTTGGGGTCGGGCCTCTGGTGGACTCCGCGAACATCAATGCCTTGGCTTCCAAAAAGGACAACGAGCAGCATGTGTTCAAAGTCAAGGACATGGAGAGCCTGGAGGACGTTTTCTACCAGATGATTGGTAGGAAGATGCAGACGCAGGTCACTGACTCCCCTCACCCTGAAGCCCTGGCAGACTGGCTCCCCCAATCCTTTCCTCCCGCTCACCCCAGTGTCTTTCTTGTTTCCTGACGTTCTTTACTTCCTGGTCTCACAATCATTAAACTCTAAGAGTTCATTTGAACAGATGTGGAAACTGAGGCCAAGACAGGCTCAGAGGAAAGAAGGCAGCACCCAGACTGGGTCTACAGTGCTCAATCCTCAGATAGACTGGTCTTACTGGCTTTTCTCACTACGCCACAGGGGTTCCCCATCTAACACAGGGAACCACTCTTCTTCCTCCTTGTTGGAGGAAGGATCCAACGAGGATGGCTGCCAAGACTTGAGCCTTCAACATTCTTTCTCTGCCAGATGAAACCAAATCTCTGGGTCTCTGCGGCATGGTGTGGGAACACAAGAAAGGCACGGACTACCACAAGCAGCCATGGCAGGCCAAGATCTCAGTCACTGTGAGCATCCCAGCAGTGGGGACTTGTGGAGGGCGATGAAATAAATGTACACACTAGCCAGGTCTGTAGTCCCAGCTGTTCAGAAGTTGAGGCAGGGCAGAGATTCACAGCCCGCTTGGGCTATAGTGAGTTCAGGGTCGGCACCAATAACTTATGAAACTGAAATGGAAAAAGGAAGCTGGGGGAGGGGGCATGTACGGTCGGTACCCCCAGCTGCTGGAAGTTTGTGGTCAGCCAGGGCTACACAGCAAGGCAGGCAGAAACAGAGAGGGGGGAGGGCTATGGAGTGCTGTCGTAGCATGTATGGAGCCAACCTCCAGTAGTGTGCACACACACACCCACCCACCCCAAGGCTAACACGACACTGGTTCTCCTCCAGCGCCCACTGAAAGGCCACGAGAACTGCATGGGGGCCGTGGTGTCTGAGTACTTTGTGCTGACGGCAGCACACTGCTTCACAGTGGAAGATCAGAAACACTCCATCAAGGTCAACGTAGGTAAGGGTGCATCTCATCTCCAGGAAGCACCCTGTGCCTGACCTGTCCTTACACCCAAGGTCGGGGACCACAGAACTCAAGTGGTGACAGGGGCTAGAGCCAGCAGGCTGCTTATGTACATAAACCCATACAGGAGGGAAGAAGCAGGACCTGGAGATCGAAGAGGTCCTGTTTCACCCCAATTACAACATCAATGAGAAGAAGGCACAAGGAATCCCTGAGTTCTATGACTACGATGTGGCCCTCATCAAGCTCAAGACCAAGCTGAAGTATGACCAGACTCTCAGGTGAGTAGGGCCAGGTCCCTGAGGAGCTGGGGAAGGCGGGCTGGAAGCACAGGGCACTGGGCACAGGGCAGGCAGGGTATCTGCTGCCTGAC